CCTTGGGAGATATAAACGTTTCAGCAATCTACATAGACATGCGCATTTACAGAGCTTCGGCCGAAAGTGAAAGCAGACAAGCGAATACAGTAATACAAAACAAAACATTGGCAGCTCGCTGACAGAAACCTGAAATAAAAAGCAGGTTGAACTCTATTTTAGAAGAAGAGGAGGAGGAGGAGATTGGATTTATACCCCGCCCTCACTCAGAGCGGCTTACAAACTCCTCTCCCTTCCCCTCCCCGCAACAGACACCCTGTGAGGAAGGTGGGGCGGAGAGAGCTCTGACAGAAACTGCTCTTTTTCAAGAACAGCTGTTATCAGAGCTACAGCTTGCCCAAGGTCATCCAGAGCAGCTGCAAGTGGAGGAGTGGGGAATCAAACCCGGTGCTCCCAAATTAGAGCCCGCGCACTTAACCACTACACCAAACTGGCTCTTGGTCACCACTTAGTGCAGAACGGGGGCGGGGAACCTGGTTAAAAAGAATGCCGAATTCGATTGTAGTGCAGAATTGCTTGGAGGACACCGCGGTGGACATGGATTGAAAGGATAGTGCAGAATGGGCCTAAGATACATAATAGTCTGGTTCTAGACCGGTGATTGTATCTTTGGGCAGTCACGGGCACTGTCCTCAGGAGCCGGGAGCCATCCTCCTTGCAATGGGATCATCCTCCTTTTCCTGCTTTTTAATGTACCTCGCATCCACCACACGAGGGAGTCACCTCACCAGGCCTCGTGGTAGAGGGCTGCTTGCTTCTGTACATTGCACGGGAATGAGAGGAGGTGGTGTGCGGCCGTGGCTAGAAGGGCAGATTTAAACTGGAGAAACCCAGGTCCAAATCCTGGCTCAGCTTTCAACAGTGACCTTGGACCAGTTGCTGCCTCTCTGCCCAAATGTTTTGTTGGAAAAAGGAATTTCTGAGGGCGAAGGATGTGTAAAAACCTGGTTTTTCAGAGGAGTTCTCGTTTCCAGGTCTCCACTTCTTACAAATGGTACTAGACTATCGTGTATTTATATGTATCGGAAGAAGTGAGCAGTGACGCACGAAAGCTTCTTACCCTGCCACAAATGTTGTCAGTCTTTCAGGTGCTCCTGGACTCTTGCTCTTTTCTACTGCTGCAGACAGACTAACACAGCAACCCATCTTGATCTGTGTCCATGGAAAGCGCCACATTTAGCCGTACAGAATAGAAATCCATCACCCTTGTGGAGAAACTTGGGTATCTGAAGAAGTGAGCAGTGACTCACGAGAGCTCCTCCCCTGCCACGGATTTTGTTAGTCTTCGAGGCGCTGCTGGACTCTTGCTCTTTTCTACTGCTAGAATATGAGTCCATCTGTCCTTATATCTTGGAAAAGTGGAGTGATTTCAGACAGAAGGACTCCCATTCTAGCTGTATCTGAAGAAGTGAGCGGTGACTCACAGACGCTCCTCCTCCCCTGCCACAGATTTTGTGAGTCTTTAAGGTGCTGCTGGACTCTGGCTCTTTTCTACTGCTGCAGACTAACGCGGCTACCCATCTTGATCTGCAGATATCAAGCATCTTTTAAATAAGGGCCATCCCTTATTTAACTTCAGTTTCCCACCAGATAAGCATATGGAGCAGAGGTCCATCAGTGGCTATTAGCTACAAGGTATAGATAGGGACTCTGGGGCAAGTGATGCTCTGTCATCTTGGTGCTTGGGGGGGGGGTCAACAGTGGAAGGGCTTCTAATGTCCTGGCCCCACTGGTGGACCTCCTGATGGCACTGGTATTTCTGGCCACTGTGTGAGACAGAGTGTTGGACTGGATGGGCCTTTGGCCTGATCCAACATTGGCATCTCTTATGTTCTTATGTTCTTACCTTTACCTTTAAGGTGCTGCTGGACTCTTGCTCTTTTCTACTGCTGCAGACTAACGCAGCTACCCATCTTGATCTGCAGATATCAAGCATCTTTTAAATAAGGACCATCCCTCCCTCCCTTCCCTTAACCATGAGAATGTGGACCAGCTTAACTTCAGTTTCCCAGCCTACCTTATTTATCTGGATTCTCCGTTTCACTCTGCCCTGAGGACTTGGGGGTCCATATGAAAACTTTTTAATTACAATTTGACCAATGTGTGTTCTAAAATCGCCCAAAGAGCTTTTGGCTGGCTTCCTCAGCAAATTAGTATGCAGCATAATTAAAGGTGTTTTGACAGATGCAAGGACCAACCTGGAATAACAAGCTTAGTTTAACTGGTCACCATCTGTTTGGGTTTAATTCTGGGGGGAAGCATTGTGAAGCTCTTTGTCTATAAAACATGGTTGCTAAGTTCTGCAACTTCCGACATATAGATAATGGAGCTGTGGGAAATGCGTCTTCTAACTTAAATTGTAGCACCTGGAAAGCAGGCAGGCAGTCTGAATCTGCTTTTGTCTCTGTTTCTCTTGCTCTCATTTGAATTTTACATAATTATATCCCACCCTTTATTTCCTGCATTACACGGCTTTTTGATTTTGCCATTGATATATGGGGTTCCCAGGGGTAATTTCGTAGAAAAAGAGGTGCAAGAGCTCATTAGCATAACTTATTAGCAAAAGTTATTTGCATATGGCACACCCCCTGACATCACCAGAAGTGTGTCAGAAGGCAACACCCACCGCTCAGGCTCCACTGGACTGTTTTGGATTGCTAGCTATCATGGGGGGGGGGACGTGTAGATCTGCCCTCACAGAGGAGGGAGAGCTTTTACCTGAAGGCGGCCCGGGGGGGGGGGCGCCCTTACCTGGCTGCTTCTTGCTCCTTATGGCCCAACTGAGGGCTGCTGGGAGCAGGGAGCGGGGCTTGCTGCATGTGTCCACCACCTGGGCTCCTTACCGCCCAAGCTCCTGTTCCCCCCTCCCTTTCATAACCTCGTGCATAAAACCACTACATGCATCTGACAAAACAGGCTTTCACCCACAAAGCCTACACTAGAATAAAACATTCTGCTAATCTTTAAAGTGCCACAAGACTCCTGTTTGTTAAAGATCGACATTATCCACTATCTCTTTTGCTACCAAGGAATGCAGCACCTGGACTCCCCACCGGGCAACATGCTCCCCCACCAGCAGATCTGTAGAGGATGGTTTCTTGATCTGTGGGTCTGGACCAGTGTTCCCTCTAAGCTGAGTTAGTGTGAGCTAGCTTGCAGTTTTTTAGCCTCCGGCTCGCAGGAAGGATGTGGCTCCAGAGCAAACTAATTTATGCAGTAGCCAGATCGCTCACACACAACTTTAATGTCAGTAAGCTCACAAAGTAGAATTTTTGCTCACAAGACTCCATAGTTTAGAGGGAGCATCTGGACCCAAAAGTCGGTCACGAAACCTCTGAAAGTGGGTTGCAGGCCAGCCCTCCATAATGGGTGCCCCTGCCCCTTTCCAATGCTCTCTTTTGTACTTTGGAAACCAAGATCTGACCCTGGAAACCGTATCTTCCATGTCATACACTAGTTAATATTTTTTCTTCACTGCATGTACCTGTTGATCAAGTAAAACATGTCCTGATGGTTACTAGAGTTTCTTAGGGGGGGATTAGACAGAGTAAAGGAGAAGGAGCGGGTGGTCAAAAGCTGGAATATAACCTCCATACGCAAAGGCTGTGTATGTCAAAATCCACTTGCTTGGTGTTCATAGTGGTGGCAGCTGCACCCTTTGTCCGATGTTTGTTGGTTTCTCAAAAGCATCTGTTTAGCCACTGCCAAAAATGGAATGCTGAATTAGATGGATTAACACATGGAATTAGAGTGATTAACAGATGGAATTCACTGCCACAGGAGGTGTGGTAGCTACAAGCATGGACGGCTTCAAGAGGGGAATTGGAGAACATATGGAGCAGAGGT